CCCCACGACGGCCCGTTACTCACCCCACGACGGCCCGTTACTCACCCCACGACGGCCCGTTACTCACCCCACGACGGCCCGTTACTCACCCGTTACTCACCCCACGACAGCCCGTTACTCACCCCACGACGGCCCGTTACTCACCCGTTACTCACCCCACGACGGCCCGTTACTCACCACACGACGGCCCGTTACTCACCCCAGGAAGGCCCGTTACTCACCACACAATAACGGGTCGTGGTGACGCCCGTATGACGACCGTTAACGTAACGTCGTCGCCCTCGGCGCCCTTCGTGACGTTCTCGAGCCCGTCGAGCACCTCGCACGGTAACGTCCGTTGCGTCAGCTCGCACGAGGACGACGTCGTGCCCACGACAGACGTCGCTACCACCTCAATCTGGTACGTCGGGACGTCGTGGTAGATATTAGACGTACGTTGAAGAAATAATATAATGAAGGACGTATGATAATAAGAAAAAACAATGTAAAATAGACGTAAGTTGAAGAAATGATAAAATAAGCGACGTATGATAATAAGAAAAAACGACGTTAAACAACGTAATATAGTGCGTTGACGTAATATCTGTACGTCGTCTTCAGAAATGGAGATAAAAACGGTCAAACGGAAACGTCGCGATCTCCTCGAACGTCGAGAATTGTTGGTACCTTAACGTCCTCCGTAACTTTGGTTATTCTGACACTGTACACTAATGTATAATGTATGGTGTATAGTGTATAACACTACACACTATATACACTAACACTATACACCCAGATGTATGGTGCATAGTGTATAACACTATACACCATACAGAGCAAACACCATACAGCACAAAGTCATACAGCTCGAACACCGGACAGAGTAAACAATTTATAGTGACAGCACAATACAATGTAAACTCTATACCCTGTATAGGCGTAATCACTATACTTTATACATAGCGTATACTTTATGTATACTTTATACTTTATACTTTATACTGTATACTTTATACATAGCGTAATCACTATACTTTGTATACTGAACAGTGTTATCACTATATACCTTGTTTACTGTACACTGTAAACACTATTCATTGTATACTGCACAGTGCGAACTCTATACCTTATATACTGTAAATTGCAAACGCTATACCTTGTATACTGTACAGTGTAAACCCATACATTGTACACTTGGTTACACTGTATAGTGTAAACACTATACCTTGCATACTGTACAGCGTAAAAACCATACATTTTGTACTGTAAACTATAAACTCTATACATTGTATACTGTAAACTATAAACACAGTAAATTGTATACTGTACACTGTAAAATCTATAAATACTATACTGCACAGTGCAAACACTATTCGTACATTGTAAACAATACAATACAGTGTAAACAATACAAAAGTCCACCTTGCCGTAGTCGTCCATGGAGACGTCCCTGAATGTGATGGTGTGGACGCCAGGCTCAGGACTTGCTATGGCCGTCCTCTCGTCGTCCCGTTGGACGGCGCCCTTCTTTGTCCACGTGGGGACGGGCAGGGGCAGACCACAGCAGCGCAGGGTGAACGTCGCCACGTCCTCTAGACACACGTCCTGGGACCGTAGCTCCAGAGACACGGACGGAGGCACGGCTGAAATAAGTCAAAAATTTAGTTAAATTTTAATGAATTTCGAGACTTTAATTCTATATAATTTAAGTCAATTTTAGTGACTTTCTAGACATCAATTCTATATAATTTAAGTCCATTTTAATTCATCCTGGACCGCAGCTCCAGCGTCACGGACGGCGGCACGGCTGAAATAAGTGAAAAATTTTGTTAAATTTTAATGAATTTCGAGATTTTAATTCTATATAATTTAAGTCAATTTTAGTTAATTTTGAAGTGAAGGATTTGATTGCATTTTTATTTTTTTCGAAATTACAATTCTATGTAATTTAGGTCTATTTTATTTAATTTCTAGCAGCTCCAGCGACACGGACGGCGGCACGGCTGACGCGAGTCAGGGGTTTGATTACATTTTAATTATTTTCGAAATAACAATTCTATATAATTTAGATAAATTTTATTGAATTTAGAGATTACAATTCTATATAATTTAGATAAATTTTAATGAATTTCGAGATTTTAATTCTATATAATTTAGATAAATTTTAATGAATTTAGAGATTACAATTCTATATAATTTAGATAAATTTTAATGATTTTCTAGACTTTAATTTTATATAATTTAAGTAAATTTTAATGAATTTCAAAATTTTAATTCTATATAATTCTATATATTTTTTATGGCATTATCAAAACTTTCGTACGCAAGTCTTAGCTAAAATCCTAAATTTTTTTCCCGCGCAAATTTTTCTCGCGCAAATGCTTTTATAATACCACCGCTAGTATTACGTTGTCATAGCAACGCCACTCGTAAGTCGATTTTGCGTACTTACGAAGTTTTGCGTACATACGAAGTTTTGCGTACTTACGAAGTTTTGATAATACGGCCCCAGAGAATTTGTTGATTTAAAATATAAATTATCAAAGAGTCGGACAATTCTTCAGATGACATTGGTAGATCGAAAAGCATATATCAGGAAGTACTTTTAGTTTATTAACGACGTTTCGAATGTAACAAACATTCATTTTCAAGTTACAAAAAGCATTATATATTTAAATTCTGGTGGAAATAAGTACATAATATACATAAATAGAATACTACAGTAGACTTTTTTTAAATCAGAAAATCCCTCTGAAAACCATTTCAAAGTTCAGCCAAATCAGGTAGTTAAGAAATAATTTAAATCAACGAATTCTCTGGTCGTCAATCGCAAGCGTACAAATTTTAGTAATTCAATATGATTCTATATATTATTGTTTTGTATATAATTCTATATATTATTTTAATTCTATATGATTCTTTTTATTATTGTAATTCTACATCATTCTATATATTATAGTAATTGTTTATGATTCTATATATTATTGTAATTCTATATGATACTATATATTATTGTTTGTACATAATTCTATATATTATGATAATTATATATGATTCTATTTATTATTGTAATTCTACGTCATTCTATATATTATAGTAATTGTATATGATTCTATATGTTATTTGTAACTCCATATAATTCTATAGATAATATAATTAATATTAATATAATATAATTAATATAATATTGGTGGATTAATTAATAATAATTTGATTTTGTTTAATTTGATTACTTACTGTCCTGTCCCACTACTTACTGTCCTGCCCCACTACTTACTGTACTGCCCCACTACTTACTGTCCTGCCCCACTACTTACTGTCCTGCCCCACTACTTACTGTCCTGCCCCACTACTTACTGTCCTGTCCCACTACTTACTGCCCTGCCCCACTACTTACTGTCCTGCCCCACTACTTACTGTGCACGTGAAGCTTGCAAGAGCCCGTAGCTTCACCGGCTTCATTGGACGCCGTGAAGCTGTAGGCACCCGCATCAGCCAGGGTGACGTCGTCCAGGACGAGGCTGTAGACCTCGGCGGCCTCGTCGCGCATGTGGAGCGTGTGTGGCGAGTCCTCGAGCTCCTTGCCGTTGTGGCGCCTACGCCACGTGGACAAAAAGGCGCCAGACTAAATTATATTTATATAACTATATGTACCTAGGTACATATTTATTACACAATTAGTTATTGTAGGTATTTAGTTACCTAGTTAATGTAGGTAGTTACCTAATAATTATAGGATAAAAAATTATTATTTTTTATTACCCTAGCTCCTTGTTGCCGTTGTGGCGCCTACGCGACGTGCGCGAAAAGGCGCCAGACGGTAGAATATATATATATATATAACTATATGTAATTAAGGACATATGGCGCCAGATGTTAAATGATATATGTACCTATAGGTACATATTTATTATACAAATAGTTATTGTAGTTAATAGAAGTTACCTAGTATTTATAGTATAATAAATTGTTATTATTTAAAACCTATAAATTGTGATTAGTCCATGAGCTCCTTGCCGTTGTGGCGCCTACGCCACGTGGGCAAAAAAGGCGCCAGACGTTATATTATATATAATTATATGTACCTAGGTATGGGCGAAAAGGCGCCACACTTTAAATTATATATTACTATATGTACCTAAGTACATATTTATTACAAAAATAATTATTGTAGTTATGAAAAGTATAGTATAGTATCTTTGGCATTAAAGAATAGGCCTGGTTAGGCCTGTCGCCGATTCTTGTACTTGAAGTAACCTAGTATTTATAAGATAATAAATTATTATTTTTAATTACCCTATAAATTGTGATTATTACCCTAAATTTACAGCCATGAGCTCCTTGCCGTTGTGGCGCCTACGCGACGTGGGCAAAAAAGGCGCCAGACTTTAAATTATATATAACTATATGTACCTAGGTACATATTTATTACACAATTAGTTATTGTAGTTATTAGAAGTTACCTTGTATTTATAGGATAATACATGTTTATTATTATCTAAACCCTATAAATTATGATTATTGCCCTATATTTACAGGGTAATATATAGACTCTAAACAATATTGGAAATATCACCGGACAAATGCGAATGATGATTTTTTGACGACATCGCACATGAGTGAATTGAAGATTTAAACAAGAAAAATCTTAAGAATTTCCGTTTATAGAATACGTACGCTATAATTCTTCAGAACGAAACATTTCGTAATGGGCAACGCCCCTTAATCGTACTGAACGATACATTTCGTAATGAACTATGCCCGCTAATTTTTCTGAACGATACATTTCGAAATTAGCAATGTCCCTCAATCTTATTGAACGATACATTTCGTAATGAGCAATGTTCAGTGATTACGTCTGAACGAAAAATTTCGTAATTAACGACGCCCATAATTTTTCTGAACGAAACATTTCCTAATGGTCAATGACCGGTGATTCGTCTGAACGAAGCATTTCAAAATTAGCAATGTCCCTTAATCATACTGAACGAAACCTTTTGTAATTAGCAATGGCCAGTAATTACGTCTGAACGAAACATTTCGTAATGGCCAATGTCCGATGATTCGTTTGAACGAAATATTTCGTTCAGACGAAGAACTTTGAGAACGATGGTGGGCGACGGCATGACTCACCACATGACGGTGGGCGGCGGGCATGACTCACCACACGACGGTGGGCATATACTATACTATACTATACTATACTATACTATACTATACTATACTATACTATACTATGCCCACAATATATGCAGGGTGATTCACGGAAACTTCCTGATTTCAAAACTCATTAAAAAATAACTGGTAAAGATATCATTACAATATAAATTTTAATGAAATGTACAATACTTGAATTTTTGTATCTTTTAGTTATAAAGATGACATCGTACAAATTACGTAACCACAGTACCAGCACTAGCTATTTACTATATACCCTTAATAAGAATATACTATACTAAAGAATACTATACCATTAGAATCTCCATACAATACTATACAATACCTTAATATATGCAGGGTGATTCACGAAAAACCTTTTGGAAATCTTTATAAAATAACTAGTAAAGATATCATAGCAATACAAATTTTATTGAAAATATTACCTGAATTTTTTGTATCTTTTAGTTTTAAAGATGACATCGGACTAATAACGGCCCTCATTGTCAATGCATTTAGTTATTCAATTTTTGAAGTTCCATTCAACTCGCTGAAGCAAATTGATGGGTATGTTAGGGATGGCTTGGCGTATGTTGTTCTTCAAATGTGGTAGGGTCCTTGGNGAAACCGTTACTAAGTTAAGTAACGCATAAAATTAAATATTAATTGTTAAATAAGATGGCCTAAAAATACTGCACTATGAAACCGTTACTAAGTTAAGTAACGCATAAAATTAAATATTAATTGTTAAATAAGATGGCCTAAAAATACTGCACTATGAAACCGTTACTAAGTTAAGTAACGCATAAAATTAAATATTAATTGTTAAATAAGATGGCCTAAAAATACTGCACTATGAAACCGTTACTAAGTTAAGTAACGCATAAAATTAAATATTAATTGTTAAATAAGATGGCCTAAAAATACTGCACTATGAAACCGTTACTAAGTTAAGTAACGCATAAAATTAAATATTAATTGTTAAATAAGATGGCCTAAAAATACTGCACTATGAAACCGTTACTAAGTTAAGTAACGCATAAAATTAAATATTAATTGTTAAATAAGATAGCCTAAAAATACTGCACTATGAAACCGTTACTAAGTTAGCTATCGCATAAAATTAAATATTATTTGTTAAATAATTAAACAGTTACTAAGTTAGGTAACGTATAAAATTAAATATTATTTGTTATATAAGATGGCTGAAAATAGAGCACCTCATGTCGCTGTAGTTAAGTTTTGTGGCTGTGATGCGGACCTTGTCGCTCTCCAGCAGCTGGTCGCCATCTTTGGTCCTGTAAACGGTAAAAAATTATTAAATTATTACTAGTTTTTTTTTTACATACATTTTAATTTTAGTAGCAATTTCTAATTTAATTGTGCTGCATTTTATACAAATGCATCTTTGGTCGCCATCTTTGGTCCTGCGAACAGCAAAAAATTATTAAATTATTACTAATTACTAGTTTTTCTTCTTACATATATTTTAATTTTTGTAGCGTTTCAAATTTAATTGTACTGCATTTTATACAAATTTAATTGTGCAGCATTTTACACAAATTTAAGTGTGCTGCACCTGTAAACGGTAGAAAATTGCTAAATTATTCCCCGTTTTTATTTTTACATACATTTTAATTTGTGTAGCGCTTTCAAATTTAATTGTGATGGATTTTATTCAAATTTTAAATTCAGAACAGCCTGTTTGCCATCTTTGGTGCCATTTTTAGTGTTCACGGGTTTTCATGAAAAATTAATTTATTTTTTATGATTACATCGGATTAAACTTTATATTGTGTTCTTACTCGGCGGCCCGTTACTCACCCCACGATGGCCCGTTACTCACCCC